GCCAGGTGTCCCCGACTGCCCCCCAGTTGCCAGGTATCTCACTGGCTCCATTGAGGATTTAGCCCTATCTCACTACCTATAATATTTCTAACTAACTCAGCTGCCTGCAACATGACTTTTTGGGGAAGAAACCAATAAGGCCAAAGATAAAGAATCCCATCTTCAAATGTAGAACATTTTTTTATAGTGTCCTTTTCCTTGCTTATGTCTCATTGCTTAGGAAGTTTATTTTGTGGTAACTTATATTGGTGTGCTTTTACCATTTTCTTCTCTGAGGTAAATTAAACTTAAGTAAAATAACTTTGAAATTTGAGAAAAATGAAAGTATTTCCACAGCACACATACTATTTATTTATAGCAGTTTTTGAGGCAGGGTCAGGCTGACCATAATTTCCTATTTAGCCGACACAGACTTCAAACTCGAGAAGATCCTGCTGCTGCCTCAGCCTCTTGAGTGCTGGTATTACAGGCAGGTACCACCATGCCTGGCTTCCTCAGCATTTTAATGGTTTTAATCTGTTGACTATGCACATAGCTTGTGCTGATCTGTGTTTTGATCTTTAGAGTCAGCCTTTGATTTTGAGAAATGTTCTTGCTAAGTCACCCAGGCAAGGCTCTAAACTGTGATTCTCTTCCTGCTTGCGTCTCCCAGGTGCTGGAATTACTGGGGTGTGCCACCACTCCCCACTTACCACACACTTGTCTCCTCCACTGCTTTTTACTTGTGTTTGCCTGGAGGCCTTTTCCGTCTCTCTATAAACCTGCAGGTGTGTTTATTGGATCAACTGAAAGCTACTCTCACATCAACTGGTCCATCTTCTCCACAGGACTCTCCCAGATCATGCTCTTTTCTGCTCCCTCCATAAAATATTATTGACCACTCCTTGGGACCTGAGCCTTTCTCATTTTCATTACTTAGAAATCATAGCTTGCCTTTTTTGTGTGCTTTTTAAAATTTAGACATAAAATAAGAATACATTAACCTAATACCCACAAGAATCCAAGGAAGGAAAACCCACTTTTATATTGCATACTTCAAAGAGAAGAGCAGAGGCACTGAGTGGACTCTGGCTGTGTCTCCTGATAATTATAGAAGAATCAGGATTTATCGCTAGGCTATTGGACCCCGAAGTCTTCACATTCAGCCTTCTGCCTACCTCCTCTGCTATTCCTGTCACTGCATTTCCCAGTAATTCTGTAAACATTAGTTTAATAACTAGACTTTCAGATTCTACAGATATATGATCATAGATTTCTTAATATGTTAGTATAAATTGTGTTTATATGATATATATTCTCATTTCATGGTTATAATTTTAAAGTAAGAATCAATTTTCGAGCTTCTTTTGAATAACCTAAAACTGGCTCACTGTTCATGTTCTCAAAAAAATGCTTCTTGTGAGCCTAGAAGTTGAAGTTTCTCTATATCCAATTCTAGTCTAAGAGGAGAGGTAACCTGGTCTCAATATCTTTTTTTTGTTTTTTACAATGAATCGATCTCACAACCTTGCACTTGCCAGGTAGGCCCTTGTGCTGCTGAGCTAAATCCGTGGTCCATGGTCTCAGTGTCTTTACTCCATGCTGTGTTTTCTATTGCTCATATAGGTTATACGAGTCTTGTTTTTTTCAAATTACCTCCTATATGAGGAATGATTATTGGGGCTTGAAAATTAAGAAGCACCTGATGTGACAGGAGTCTCCTGGGTGCCTCAGATTTTGATTCTTTTGGGACTGGGCACAGGGAGGAGCAGAGATGCCCTCTGCATGACAGTACCCAGCTCAGATCCTGTTCTAGAAGCTGACTGCACTATTGAGGGGAAGAAGCAAAGTCTTGGAGCATCTTTAATGCCATCCAAATGATGCTCCTATGTTTTGGCAGACCTACCTCTTAGTGATCATGTATCAACCAGTTTAATGCAATAAATGTTCTTCAGAAAGGATGATAGAAGGCTTTTATGTCCTTACTTAGTTGGATGAACCCTGTGATAAATTGCTTTAATTTTGGTGTTTTGTTTTTAAAAGACAATACACAAGTTAGGATAAACAGTTATTTTGTCATTTGTTCATAAACTAAGAAAGAACCAATCATTTTAATGTTCCAGACAATCTACCAGATATTGGAGAAATTTCAGGGAAAAAGACAGGAGGAAACTTTGTGGTGTATGCTTGTTATCCCAACACTTGGGAGAGTGGAACAGGAGTTTGGCCTAAAATTGGAGGCCACCCTAGGATATATATAGTGGGTTCCAGGTCAACCTGAAGTACATGTGACACAGGGGAAAGAAACTCCCACCCTACCAGATGTCTGGTATGCATTTGTGTTCTTTAAAATTGAAGAATGAATTTTAGGAATGATGGAGGCTAAGAGTGGAATCTATTCCTTAAGGAAAAGAAAGCTTCTGATAGAGATAGAAAGTGTTCTAAGTGTGTTGTCAAAGACTCTGTCTTTTCTAGGGACTTTTATAGAGCAAAACCACTAAATGAGGCAGGTCCAAGGTGGGAAAAATGAGAAAATGCAAGGTGGCCGTGAGATAAGACAAAATCATGGTCAACCAATAAAAGTACGAGTATAATTATTCAGGTAGAATTGAATAAATCAGGGACAAATGGGGAAGCAAGTCAAAGCAAGGGAGCATGAATATTGAGCAAGAGCTTTCCTTGCAGGAGGTTGGGTTAGTGGCTCCTGGCTTCCTCAAGGTGATAGATACCTATTTAGGATATTGATGCCTGGTATTTATCCTTAGTATGTGGGTGCATTTGGTTTTTCCTTTTGGCTTGAGGTCTGGCCTGCAGTGAGGTGTCTGTTCTTCCACAGCTGCAAGGTATCTGGTTTTCTGCACTAGCTCCTTTGAGGGCCTAGCCCTGTCTGACTGCCTATAATATTTCTATGTAACTCAGCTGACTGTAACACATGGAGATGGTCTATCTCAAAAACCCATAAAGAAGGAGAGAAGAAACTTATATTTTCTTTTTAGGACGGCATAGAAATTTGAAAGTAAAATGGTAGCTATTCTTGTTAATTGAAGTGAGAGAAACAACCTGTTTTTAATGTGTGTGGTCCTCAGGATAGAACTGGGATCAATAGGCTGAAGTTCCAAGAAGGCTGTTAGAAGGAATGATTGTCCAAAGATGAAGTATTGTTCTTTGGACACTGACTGCCCCGTTGTCCAGGATGTCAGGCTGCCTGAAAAGCTTGTTATATGACTTAAAACAGTCTTCTATTTCAAAGAAGAACTGAGATGCCTTTGTGAGCTGAATACATTTTGAGATACCTTGAAACCTTGAGATCTTAAGATCTACAATGCTTGATAATTTATGCAAAAAAGTGCAAGGACTTGAAATATGAATACAATAATAAAAATTTGTATTTATTGATTGATTACAGTAATGGGTGATCAAACCCAGGGGCATTCCATTCCTGAGCTACATCCCCAACCCCTCTGAAAATTTTGAAATAGGATCTTGCTAATTTCCCAGGCTGGACTCAAAGTTGTGATCCTCCTGACTCAATCTCCTGGAGTGGTGGTATGATAGGTATGTGCCACCAAACCCAGCTCATAATTACTTAGTTCCTTTTTAATAAAAGCCCCACACTGAAAGCTATACAAAGTTGGGAGTGGGGGATGAATCCTTGTAATCCCAGCACTCTAGGAGACCTGAGTAAAGAGCATCACAAGTTGGATTTTAGCCTGAGTGATTTAGTGATTTATTGAGACTCTGACCCAAACAAAAGACAGCAAAACAAAGCAAAACAGAAAAAGGGACTGAGGATTGTAGCTCAGTTTACGTAAAGGCCCCAGTTTCAATTCCTATCCATGTCTAGGACTGGGTTGGAGCTTAGAGAAAGGAGTCACTGTTTCCTCAGTGGCTTTTAAACAACTTAGTCCAACTCTTCAAAGATTTCAGAAATTCAAGTCAGCACATTTGGAGTTAACTTTTGTACTTTGTTGAGTAAGGAAATATTCTCATACTATGCCCAGTCCAGGTAAAATGTCCCCTTCCTCCACTGGTCTGTGACTTAGGGCATCATTTTGCCACTTGAGTCTGACAGTTTGCTGGAGTTATTTGTCTGTAAGATTTTCACAAGTTTCTTATCTATAAGCTTGTAAGTATTATGTTTGGGTTCTGTTTCATTGTGCAGAGTTTGCCAAGGAAATTGTTTCAAGAAAAGCAAGATGTTCTCTAATGTGCATTTCCCTTACAATAGGGTGAAATCTCATTAGTGCCACACTTCACAGGGCAAGGATCAGAGAGATAAACTGAGCAGGACACTCGTGGGATAGAGTCAGTGTTATAACCGAGGGTGTGTCTCAGGGTCTGCTGGCCCTGGAGGACTGAGCAAGGCATGACAGGGGCTAGGTGCACACTGCCAAGAAAGAGTCTACATTCAGGACACTTCTGCAGGAGTGATTGTGAGGTCATTTAATCTTAACCTCAATGTTCTTCACAGGAAATGGAAGATAATTCCTACCACTGAGATTATGTTGAGAAACATGAGCACATGCAGACTCTTATAATTTTAGATATTTCTGTTGTCATTACATAGCAGTAATTGTTATCTGTAGTACTCTTTCAGCTTCTGACAGCAGTGTTAAGATTGCCTTTGCAACAGGGTGCTCCACAGAGTGAAATTCACCTGTAGGTTCTGACTATGATAGTGGGTCCCTTTTTGTGACCTAAGGGATTCAGAAACCTGTATGTGGCTGGGGCTTGGATGCCACTCTTGCAGCCCTTTGAGAAGAGCTGTTTCAGCAGCTGGTGGAACAGGAATATGCCCCCTGTCACTGGGAGAGGCAGCCAGAAGTGGTGCATATATAGTCAGCATGGCAAATTATTTTGCAAAGAATCTTATCAGAGTTTAATTCTTAACATCCTCCTTCCTTCTCCCACCCCCTGGTCCTTGTCCAGCTTTCCCTCCAGGGCTATTCCCTGGGCTGGGTGAGGCTTTTGTTTTTAACTGCCTGAGGAATGTTGCCTGAGGGGACAAGAAGTGGAGAGGTCTGTCCATAAAAGCCCAGAGGAGGGCTGGCTGAGAAGTGTGAAGTCCTGCCTGCACACTTGCAGTCTCAGCTCTACCCCACTGGCACCATGCTCTACAAGGTTCTGGTCCTCTGTGCTCTGTGTGTCTTGGCTGGGTCTGTGCCCTTACCAGACCTAGGTAAGAAGTGTTGTAATGTGTGTGAAGTGATGTGATGTGTGTGTAGAGACTGAGTGTGAGGAAGAGACTGTAAAAGAAAATTCAATTGTGTAAAGGCAGATGGCAGATGAGTTATGGGGCCTTGGGTATTTGAATAAGTAGACTATGATTTTGTTTGTGGATTTGAATTGATCTCATAGCTAGGACAGATGGGATTAGGGCACGTGATCACAGAGCTAGTTAAGTTTTCCTATGAATCCTTTCCTGGAATGAATGTTAAAGAGGTCTATTTAATACTATTTAATTTAGGATTAAAAAGTCTAGAGGAGAAGTGTCTCTCATTTTACAATTAATTTCAGAGAGTCGGAGCAGTTGGCCTGGTCACAAACAAGGTGATCATTTGGTGTAGGATGAGAACTTGTAAATCATTGTGAGGAATGAAACAAATGTGTCCTCACTAACCACAGATGAAAGGAATTTTTCACCCCAAAGCTTTCCTTCCTAGTTTCTTCTTGAACTCAGGTTCATTTCTCAGGAGCAGAAATGTTCATTACCTTAGATTAAGGTACTCTGTTTCTTCTTACCCTGTTTCTCAGGCAGCTGTCAGTTTCTGGGGTGTTTGGTTGGTTCTCTTACTGCTTTGGATGTGTGATAAGGCAAAGTAAGGGTGGCATGGTGGCTCATATCTTGCAGCACTCCAGTGCCAGTCTGTGCTATAGTGAGACTCTGTCTCAAAAAAACAATGAAAAAAAGGAAAAAAGACAGCTTTAGAGATGTAGTGATTTTGTCTTTGGCATTGTGGCACTTGCCACAATGACTCTGCACTTGTTTTGAGTACCACTTGTTGCTCAACAGATCTTGACGGTTCTGATGCTTATAAGGTTAACCTGCCCAAGGATGTCAGGACTGGGTGTTCCATGGGACCTGCTGAGAATGGAGTCTTAGCTATAGTTCATTAAATTAGAAAGTAATAACAATAGCCCTTTTAGGAGTTGATTTCATTCTTGCTTGTATTTAGATAGTCATTTTCCTTGATGCATAATTTAGCCTAAGGTTTTTTTTTTTTTTTTTTTTTTGCTCTTAGCTTTCAGCTGCAGAGGTTATGGAGGGTCATCTTGCAAGGTTTTTTCTGCTTCAGTTTTTTTTTTTATTTAAAGAGAAAGAAAAAAAAAAGAGAAAAAGGGTAGAAACAATACAGAATTTCAGAAAAATAAACAGTAAGAAATCATCAGTCGATAAGGTACATACTATCATCTTAGAAATAGTTGCTTGAGATAGAAAATTAAAGTATACAAAGTGATATTCAAATAATGACACTGCAAACAGTTCTGCTCAACGATCCAACAAGAACTTAGTAATATGGTTATCAGTCCTACACACTTGTTTTTTATCTTAAAGAGGGTAAGATTAAACATAACAAAATAGTTTATAAGGAAACAATTTAAAGAAACACAGATTTCAAAGCAAGTCCAGTGGAGATCTTCACTGTCTATCTTGTTTTCTCTAGTTTTCTTCCAAATAGTTGTCCCCATCTTCACACACATTGAATATATACTGAACATCGTAGAACTAATCAAATCATTACAGGATGATGAAGGCTTTTTAGTTCTTCAAGACCTGACTTTGGGGAAATCAGTAATGTCTACCATAATGTTTCTCTGTCTTTTTGTAGTAGCAGTCTTTACCTTTGCATATGCTGAAATTGAACATAAGAGACTAGACTAATATCACTCTGAACAGTGAATGATAGTATTGCTAGATTTTATATCATAATGCTACAGAATTAACACTGGGTTCTTTAATGTCTCTTCTTTCTCAGAGTAGCTGTTCATTACATCGTGTATTATATGTTCCCGTAAATAGTTCAGAAATTCTTTCCATGTGTGAATCTCTACATGTATATCTATCCTTTCGGTATTATAGGGAAAAACAGAAAAAAAGACAACAAAATAAATTCCTAAAAAAACATGAAATGAAAAAGACATATAGGACCACAATATTAGGTGATTTACATAGTTATATATGCTTTCTCTTGTTATTTTTCAATAGAATTGTCCACATCATCAGGCATAATATAATTGAACATAACATTACATAAATACTTTAATAAAAACACAACTTTTAAGACATTGTAGGACTTGAAAGCAGTTAATACTCAAAACCAGTTTGAACAACACACAGTCAGAGACACAATATTGACTGTTCTTTGCTACACTGAGCCCCTCAAAGGGGAAGCACTGATTGCTGTCTCATAAGTGGTGGCTGCCTGATGTTCCACAGTTGGAAGACATTTTCATGACCACAGTGGACCCAGGGATGACTTCTTATTCCATGTTTTCCCAAGAGGAAGGGTGCAGCTAGGAACAAGAAGAGTGTAAAGAAACACTTTCAGTGAGAAGTCTTAATTTCTCCTTTTCTCTTTAGCTCCTCGAAAATTGGTCGCTTACTTGCCTGGATTGGCTAGCATTAGAGATAAGCTCAATGATGGAAGAGATACAATCAAAGACAAAGGTAAAACAGGTGGCATACCCCCAATTTATGCATCAGAGTCAACCAGAGACATATTCCAGAAGGAAAAACAGACTTTGAATAAGTAACGGCCTTGAATCAGGGGAGGCCGAAGAAGGCAATGCTGTGTCTGGTCTCCTGAAGGCCATAGTGAAATTACATTTTCCTCCAGTATATGGGATTTCTACCATTAAGCAGTAGCTCCATTCATGGCTCAGATATTTCCATAATTATCTGGCACCACAGAGTCTGACATGTCCCCCCTTTGTGTTAGTTTCCTTTCTCTAGTGGGATACAAAACTCATCACTGAAAGTTAAAGGAAAAAATGTTTATTTCGGGTCACAGCCTATAGTAGCTTCAATCCATAGTCAGCTACTGCCCAAAGCAGGCTGGCATGGCAGAGGGGTATCACAGAGGAGAAGCAGCTCATGACAGGACAGAGACTGAATGCAGCCACAGCAGTAGGAAGCCTGCCTTCCTTTTGCGTTCCACCAAGTTCAAAGCCCATTGTTTGTGTCACTTACACTACAGTGAGTCTCCTATCATTTACCACCTTCATATCAGCATGACATCTGAATATATATTCAGGCACCCTAACACAGCTACCCTCTAAATTCCCCACCTTTGACTGCATGAAGCTTGACTGGGGAGAGAGGTGATCTAGATATAGGACTTAATAGTAAATGAATTCACTGTTGATATAGAGCCAATCGTGGACCAAGATCCAACGTATGGAGTAGACGTGATCGATGGATCAGAATTGACCACAGAGATATTCCAGCAGGACACACAGAATTTGAGTAAGTATGAGCCTTGCTTCAGGGAAAGCCTGGGCAAGGACTGCTGTGCCCTGTTTGCTATATGCCTCAGTGAAACTCTGTTTTCCTCCATTGTATGGGATTTCCACTGCTAAGTGTGAGCTACTCCCATGGTTCGGATATTTTTCCATAATTGTCTGGTGCAGCAGAGTGTGATATGCCCATCTCCATCTTAATTTCCTTTCTCTTGCAGAGATAAAATACCCAACACTAAAAGTTAATGGAGGAAATGTTTATTTCGGGTCACAGCTTATAGTAGTTTCAAACCACAGTCAGCTGGTGCCCAAAGCAGACTGGCATGGCAGAGGGGTATCACAGAGGAGATGCAGCTCATGACAGGACAGAGACTGAATGCAGCCACAGCAGTAGGAAGCCTGCCTTCCTTTTGCGCTCCACCAAGTTCAAAGCCTATTGTTTGTGTCACTTACACTACAGTGAGGCTACTATCATTTACCACCTTCATATCAACATGACATCTGAATATACATTCAGGCACCCTAACACAGCTACCCTCTAAATTCCCCACCTTTGACTGCATGAAGCTTGATTGGGGAGAGAGGTGATCTACATATAGGGCTTAATAGTCAATGAATTCACTGTTGATATAGAGCCAATTGTGGACCAAGATCCAACGTATGGAGTAGACGTGATTGATGGATCAGAATTGACCACAGAGATATTCCAGAAGGACACACAGACTTTGAGTAAGTATGGGCCTTGCTTCAGGGAAAGCCTGGGCAGGGACTGCTGTGCCCTGTTTGCTACATGCCTCAGTGAAACTCTGCTTTCCTCCCTTGTATGGGATTTCCACTGTTAAGTGTGAGCTACTCCCATGGTTCGGATATTTTTCCACAATTGTCTGGTGCAGGAGAGTGTGATATGCCCATCTCCATCTTAGTTTCTTTCTCTTGCTGAGATAAAATACTCAACACTAAAAGTTAATGGAGGAAATGTTTATTTCGGGTCACAGCCTACAGTAGTTTCAATCCATAGTCAGCTGGTGCCCAAAGCAGGCTGGCACGGTAGAGGAGTATCACAGAGGAGAAGCAGCTCATGACAGGACAGAGACTGAATGCAGCCACAGCAGTAGGAAGCCTGCCTTCCTTTTGCATTCCACGAAGTTCAAAGTCTATTGTTTGTGTCACTTACAGTACAGTGAGGCTACTATCATTTACCATCTTCATATCAGCATGACATCTGAATATACATTCAGGCACCCTAACACAGCTACCCCCTAAATTCCCCACCTTTGACTGCATGAAACTTGACTGGGGAGAGAGGTGATCGAGATATAGGATATAATAGTAAATGAATTCACTGTTGATATAGAGCCAATCGTGGACCAAGATCCAACGTATGGAGGAGACGTGATCGATGGATCAGAATTGACCACAGAGATATTCCAGCAGGACACACAGACTTTGAGTAAGTATGGGCCTTGCTTCACGGAAAGCCTGGGCAGGGACTGCTGTGCCCTGTTTGCTACATGCCTCAGTGAAACTCTGCTTTCCTCCATTGTATGGGATTTCCACTGTTAAGTGTGAGCTACTCCCATGGTTCAGATATTTTTCCACAATTGTCTGGTGCAGCAGAGTGTGATATGTCCATTTGCAACTTAGTTTCCTTTTTGTTGCTGAGATAAAATACTCCACACTGAAAGTTATGGAACAAATGTTTATTTCGGGTCACAGCCTACAGTAGTTCCAATCTATAGTCAGCTGGTGCCCAAATCAGGCTGGCATGGCAGAGGGGTATGACAGACGAGTAGCAGCTCATGATAGAACAGACTGAATGGAGCCACAGCAGTAAATGCCTGACTTTTTAAAAGGTTCTTCCAGGGTAAAGCTTACTGATTGTGTCACTTACACTAGAGTGAGTCTACTCTCATTAACCACCTTCATATCAGCATGACATCTGAATACACATTCAGACACCCTAACATAACTAGACTGTAAATTCCCCACCTTTGACTGCCTGAAATTTGATTGGGGATAAAGAGGATCTAGATATACGACCTAATAATAAATGAACTCATTGTTGATATAGATCCAGTCGTGGACCAAGATCCAACATTTGGAGTAGACGTGACCGAAGGACCAGAATCGATAACAAAGATATTCCAGAAGGACACACAGACTTTGAGTAAGTATGGGCCTTGCTTCAGAGAAGGCCTGGGCAGGGAATGCTATGCCCTGTTTCCTACATGCCTCAGTGAAATTCTGCTTTCCTCCATCATATGGGATTTCCACCATTAAGTGTCAGCTAACCCCAGGGTTCAAATATTTTAGCACAGTTCTCCGGTGCAGCAGAATGTGATATGTCCATCTCCATCTTCGATTCTTTCTCTTGCTGGAATAAAATACTCAACACTAAAAGTTAATGGAGGAAATGTTTACTTCAGGTCACAGCCTATAGTTGTTTCAATCCATAGTTATCTGCTGCCCAAAGCAGACTGGCATGGCAGAGGGGTATCACAGAGGACCAGCAGCTCATGACAGGACAGGGACTGAATGCAGCCACAGCAATAGGAAGCCTGCCTTCCTTTTGAGTTCCACCAAGTTCAAAGCCTATTGTTCGTGTCACTTACACTACAGTGAGGCTACTATCTTTTACCACCTTCATATCAACATCAAATCTGAAAACACATTCAGACACCATAACACAGCTATCCTCTAAATTCCCCACCCTTGACTGCCTGAAGCTGGAATGGGGAGAGAGGGGATCTAGATGTAGGATCTAATACTAAATGAACTCACTGTCAATATAGATCCAATCGTGGACCAAGATCCAACGTTTGGAGTAGACGTGATCGATGGATCAGAATCGACCACAGAGACATTCCAGACGGACACACAGACTTTGAGTAAGTATGGGCCTTGCTTCAGGGAAGGCCTGTGCAGGGAATGCTGTGCCCTGTTTCCTACATGCCTCAGTGAAAATCTGTTTTCCTCCATTTTGTGTGATTTCCACCATTAGCGTCAGCTATTTCCACTGTTCAGATATTTTTCCACAATGCTCTGGTGCAGCAGAGTGTGATATATCCATCTCCATCTTACTTTCCTTGCTCTTGCTGGAATAAAACACTCAACACTGAAAGTTAATGGAGGAAATGTTTATTTCAGGTCACAACCTATTGTAGTTTCACTCCACAGTCAGCTGGTGCCCAAAGCAGGGTGGCATTGTAGAGGTATATCACAGAGGGGCAGCTGCTCATGACAGAAGTGACTGAATGCAGCCACAGCAGTAAAAGCCTGCCTTCTTCTGAGGTTCTGCCAGGTTCAAAGCCTATTAATTGCATGACTTACACTACAGTGAGGGTACTATCTTTTACCACCTTCAAATCAGCATGACATCTGAATACACATTCAGACACCCTAACACAGCTACCCTGTAAATGCCCCACCTTTAACTGCCTCAAACTTGATTGGGGAAAAAGAGGAACTAAATATAGGACCTAATAATAAATGAACTCACTGTTGATATAGATCCAATCGTGGACCAAGATACAACATTTGGAGTAGACGTGATTGATGGATCAGAATCGACCACAGTGATATTCCAGCAGGGCACACAGACTTTGAGTAAGTATGGGCCTTGCTTCAGGGCAGACCTGGGCAGGGACTGCTGTGCCCTGTTTACTAAATGCCTCAGTGAAACTCTGCTTTCTTCCATTCTATGGGATTTCCATGTTTAAGTGTGAGCTACTCCCATGGTTCAGATATTTGTCTACAATTCTCTGGTGCAGCACAGTGTGAAATGTCCATCTCTATCTTAGTTTCCTTTCTCTTGCTGGGACAAAGTACTCAAAACTAAAACTAAATGGAGGAAATGTCTATTTCAGTTCACAGCCGCCAGTACTCACAATCCACAGTGTGCTGGTTCCCAAAGAGGGCTGGCATGGATGATGGGTATTGCAGAGAAGCAGCTAATGACAGAACAGGGGAGACTTAATGCAGCCACAGCAGTAGGAAGCATGCCTTCCTTCTTTATCCTTAGGTCTTCTGTCCAAGTTCAAGGCCTCTTGATTGTGTCACTTCCACTAGAGTGAGGCTACTATCATTTACCATCTTCATATCGGCATCACATCTGAATACATATTCGGACACCCTAACAAGCTACGCTGTAAATTCCCCACCTTTGACTGCATGAAGCTTGATTGGGCAGAGAGAGTATCTATATATATGACCTAATATTAAATGAACTCACTGTTGATATAGATCCGATTGTTGACCAAGACCCAACGTTTGGAGTAGACGTGATCAATGGATCAGAATTGACCACAGAGATATTCCAGCAGGACACACAGACTTTGAGTAAGTATGGTTCTTCCTGCAGGGAAGGCTTGGGCAGGGACTGCTGTGCCTTGTTTCCTACATGCCTCAGTGAAACTCTGCTTTCCTCCACTGTGTGTGATTTCCATCTTTAAGTGTGAGCTACTCCCATGGTTCAGATATTTTTCCACAATGCTCTGGTGCAGCAGAGTGTGATATATCCATCTCCATCTTACTTTCCTTTCTCTTGTTCGGATAAAATACTCAACACTAAAAGTTAATGGAGAAAATGCTAACTTCAGGTCTCAGCCTACAGTAGTTTCAATCCATAGTCAGCTGGTACCCAAAGCAGGCTGGCATGTAAGAGGTGTATCACAGAGGAGAAGCAGCTCATGACAGAAAAGACTGAATGCAACCACAGCAGTAGGAAGCCTGCCTTCCTTCCGTTCCTTTTGTCTTCTATCCAGGTTCAAAGCCTATTGATTGTGTCACTTACACTAGAGTGAGGCTACTACATTTACCACCTCCATATCAACATCACATCTGAGTACACATTCAGATACCCTAACACAGTTGCCCTCTAAATTCCCCACCTTTGACTGCCTGAAGCTTGATTGGGGATAGAGGGTATCTAGATATAGGACCTAATAATAAATGAACTCACTGTTGATACAGATCCAATAGTGGACCAAGATCCAACGTTTGGAGTAGATGTGATTGATGGATCAGAATCGACCACAGAGATATTCCAGAAGGACACACAGACTTTGAGTAAGTATGGGCCTTGCTTCAGGGAAGGCCTGGGCAGGGACTGCTGTGCCCTCTTTCCTACATGCCCCACTGCAACTCTGCTTTCCTCCATTGTATGGGATTTCCACGTTTAAAGGTAAGTTACTCCCATGGTTCAGATATTTGTCTACAATTGTCTGGTGCAGCAGAGTGTGATATGTCCATCTCTATCTTAGTTTCCTTTCTCTTGCTGGGATAAAGTACTGAAAACTAAAAGTTAATGGAGAAAATGTCTATTTCAGTTCGCAGCATACAGTACTCACAATCCACAGTGTGCTGGTGCCCAAAGAGGCCGGCATGGATGATGGGTATTGCAGAGAAGCAGCTAATGACAGGACAGGGGAGATTGAATGCAGCCACTGCAGTAGGAAGCATGCCTTCCTTCTTTATCCTTAGGTCTTCTGTCCAAGTTCAAGGCCTCTTGATTGTGTCACTTCCACTAGAGTGAGGCTACTATCATTTACCATCTTCATATCGGCATCACATCTGAATACACATTCGGACACCCTAACAAGCTACGCTGTAAATTCCCCACCTTTGACTGCATGAAGCTTGATTGGGCAGAGAGAGTATCTATATATATGACCTAATATTAAATGAACTCACTGTTGATATAGATCCGATTGTTGACCAAGACCCAACGTTTGGAGTAGACGTGATCAATGGATCAGAATTGACCACAGAGATATTCCAGCAGGACACACAGACTTTGAGTAAGTATGGTTCTTCCTACAGGGAAGGCCTGGGCAGGGACTGCTGTGCCCTGTTTCCTATATGCCTCAGCGAAACTCTGCTTCCTCTCTTGTATGGGTTTTCCATCTTTAAGTGTGAGCTACTCCCAAGGATCAGACATTTTTCCACAATTCTTGGGTGCAGCAGAGTGTGATATGTCCATCTCCATCTTACTTTCCTTTCTCTTGTTCAGGTAAAATACTCAACACTAAAAGTTAATGGAGAAAATGTTAATTTCACGTCTCAGCCTATAGTAGTTTCAATCCATAGTCAGCAGGTACCCAAAGCAGGCTGGCATGTAAGAGGTGTATCACAGAGGAGAAGCAGCTCATGACAGAAAAGACTGAATGCAACCACAGCAGTAGGAAGCCTGCCTTCCTTCCTTTCCTTTTGTCTTCTATCCAGGTTCAAAGCATATTGATTGTGTCACTTACAATAGAGTGAGGCTACTACATTTAGCACCTTCATAACAACATCACATCTGAGTACACATTCAGACACCCTAACACAGTTGCCCTCTAAATTCCCCACCTTTGACTGCCTGAAGCTTGATTGGGGATGGAGGGTATCTAGATATAGGACCTAATAATAAATGAACTCACTGTTGATACAGATCCAATTGTGGACCAAGATCCAACATTTGGAGTAGACGTGATTGATGGATCAGAATCGACCACAGAGACATTCCAGACAGACACACAGACTTTGAGTAAGTGTGGGCCTTGCTTCAGGGTAGGCCTTTGCAGGGACTGTGCCCTGCCCTTTGCTGTGCCCTGTTTCCTACATGCCTCAGTGCAACTGTGCTTTCCTCCATTCTGTTGGATTTCCACGTTGAAGTGTGAACTACTCCCATGGTTCAGATATTTGTCTGCAATTCTCTGGTGCAGCAGAGTGTGATATGTCCATCCTTTCTCTTGCTGAGATAAAATACTCAGCACTAACAATTAATGGAGGAAATGTCTATGTCAGTTCACAGCCTACAGTACTCACAATCCACAGTGTGCTGATGCCCAAAGCAGGCTGGTGTGGCTGACGGGTATTGCAGAGAAGCCGCTTATGACAGGACAGGGGAGACTGAATGCCGCCATAGCAGTAGGAAGCATGCCTTCCTTCTTTATCGTTTGGTCTTCTGTCCAGTTTCAAAGCCTATTGATTGTGTCACTTACACTAGAGTGAGGCTACTATCATTTACCACCTTCATATCAGCATGGTATGTGAATACACATTCAGACACCCTAACAAAGCTACCCTGTAAATTTCCCACCTTTGACTGCATGAAGCTTGGTTGGGGAGAGTGGGAATCTAGATATACGACATAATATTAAATGAACTCTCTGTTGATATAGATCCAATTTTTGACCAAGATCCAACCTTTGGAGTAGGTGTGATCGATGGATCAGAATCGACCACAGAGATATTCCAGCAGGTCACACAGACTTTGAGTAAGTATGGGCTTTCCTTCAGCGAAGGCCTGGGCAGGGACTGCTCTGCCCTGTTTCCTATATGCCTCAGTGAAACTTTTCTTCCTCCATTGTATGGGATTTCCACCTTTAAGTGTGAGCTACTCCCACGGATCAGACATTTTTCCACAATTCTTGGGTGCAGCAGAGTGTGATAACTACATCTGCATCTTAGTTTCTTTCTCTTGCTGAGATAAAATACTCAATACTGAAAGTTAATGGAGGAAATGTTTATTTCAGGTCACAACCTATAGTAGTTTCAATCCATAGTCATGTGGTGCCCAAAGCAGGCTGGCATGGAAGAGGGTTATCACAGAGGAATAACAGCTCATGACAGGGTAGAGACTGAATGCAGCCACAGCAGTAGGAAGCCTGCCTTCCTTTTGTCTTCTATCCAGGTTCAAAGCCTATTGATTGCATCACTTACACTAGAGTGAGGCTACTATCATTTACCACCTTCCTATCAGCATCACATCTGAATACACATTCAGACACCCTAACATAGCTACACTCCAAATCTCCACCTATGACTGCATGAAGCTTGATTGGGGAGAGACGGGATCTAGACATAGGACGTAATAATAAACGAACTCACTGTTGATATAGATCCAATTGTGGACCAAGATCCAACGTTTGGAGTAGACGTGATCGATGGATCAGAATCGACCACAAAGATATTTCAGAAGGACACACAGACTTTGAGTAAGTATGGGCCTTGCTTCAGGGAAGGCCTGTGCAGGGACTGCTGTGCCCTGTTCCCTACATGCCTCAGTGAAATTCTGCTTTCCTCCATTGTATGGGATTTCCACGTTTAAGTGTGAGCTACTCCCATGGTTCAGATATTTTTCCACAATTCTCTGGTGGAGTAGAGTGTGATATGTCTATCTCTATCTTAGTTTCCTTTGTTTTGCTAGAATAAAACACTTAACACTGAAAGTTAATGGAGGAAATGTTTATTTCAAGTCACAGCCTGTAGTAGTTTCAATCCATAGTCAGCTGGTGCCCAAAGCATGCTGGCATGGAAAAGGGGTATCACAGAGGAGTAACAGCTCATGACAGGATAGAGACTGAATGCCGCCACAGCGGTAGGAAGCCTGCCTTCCTTTTGTGTTCTATCCAGGTTCAAAGCCTATTGACTGTGTCACTTACACTATAGTGAGGCTACTACATTTACCACATTCATATTAACATCACATGTGAGTACACATTCAGGCACCCTAACACAACTACCCTTTAAATTCCCCACCTTTGACTGCCTGAAGCTTGATTGGGGATGGAGGCTATCTAGATATAGGACCTAATAATAAATGAACTCACTGTTGATACAGATCCAATCGTGGACCAAGATCCAACGTTTGGAGTAGACGTGATTGATGGATCAGAATCGACCACAGAGACATTCCAGACAGACACACGGACTTTGAGTAAGTGTGGGCCTTTCTTCAGGGAAGGCCTTTGCAGGGACTGCGCCCTGCCCTTTGCTCTGCCCTGTTCCCTACATGCCTCAGTGCAACTCTGCTTTCCTCCATTTTATTGGATTTCCACGTTTTAAGTGTGAGCTACTCCCATGGTTCAGATATTTGTCTACAATTCTCTGGTGCAGCATGGTGTGATATGTCCATGTCCATCTTAGTTTCCTTTCTCTTGCTGAGATAAAATACTCAGCACTAACAGTTTTGGAGGAAATGTCTATTTCAGTTCACAGTACTCACAATTCACAGTGTGCTGATGCCCAAAGCAGGCTGGCATGGCTGACGGGTATCGCAGAGAAGCCGCTTATGACCGGACAGGGAAGACTGAATGCAGCCATAGCAGTAGGAAGCATGCCTTCCTTCTTTATTGTTTGGTCTTCTGTCCATGTTCAAAGCCTATTGATTGTGTCACTTACACTAGAGTGAGGCTACTATCATTTACCACCTTCATATCAGCATGATATGTGAATACACATTCAGACACCCTAACAAAGCTACCCTGTAAATTCCCCACCTTTGACTGCATGAAGCTTGGTTGGGGAGAGTGGGAATCTAGATATACGACATAATATTAAATGAACTCTCTGTTGATATAGATCCAATTGTTGACCAAGATCCAACCTTTGGAGATGTGATTGATGGATCAGAATCAACAACAGAGATATTCCAGCAGGTCACACAGACTTTGAGTAAGTATGGGCTTTCCTTCAGCGAAGGCCTGGGCAGGGACTGCTCTGCCCTGTTTCCTATATGCCTCAGTGAAACTTTTCTTCCTCCATTGTATGGGATTTCTACCTTTAAGTGTGAGCTACTCTCATGGATCAGACATTTTTCCACAATTCTTGGGTGCAGCAGAGTGTGATAACTCCATCTGCATCTTAGTTTCTTTCTCTTGCTGAGATAAAATACTCAACACTGAAAGTTAATGGAGGAAATGTTTATTTCAGGTCACAACCTATAGTAGTTTCAATCCATAGTCATGTGGTGCCCAAAGCAGGCTGGCATGGAAGAGGGTTATCACAGAGGAATAACAGCTCATGACAAGGTAGAGACTGAATGCAGCCACAGCAGTAGGAAGCCTGCCTTCCTTTTGTCTTCTATCCAGGTTCAAAGCCTATTGATTGCATCACTTACACTAGAGTGAGGCTACTATCATTTACCACCTTCCTATCAGCATCACATCTGAATACACATTCAGACACCCTAACATAGCTACACTCCAAATCCCCACCTATGACTGCATGAAGCTTGACTGGGGAGAGATGGGATCTAGACATAGGACATAATAATAAACGAACTCACTGTTGATATAGATCCAATTGTGGACCAAGATCCAACGTTTGGAGTAGAAGTGATCGATGGATCAGAATCGACCACAAAGATATTTCAGAAGGACACACAGACTTTGAGTAAGTATGGGCCTTGCTTCAGGGAAGGCCTGTGCAGGGACTGCTGTGCCCTGTTCCCTACATGCCTCAGTGAAATTCTGCTTTCCTCCATTGTATGGGATTTCCACGTTTAAGTGTGAGCTACTCCCATGGTTCAGATATTTTTCCACAATTCTCTGGTGGAGTAGAGTGTGATATGTCTATCTCTATCTTAGTTTCCTTTGTTTTGCTGGAATAAAACACTTAACACTGAAAGTTAATGGAGGAAATGTTTATTTCAAGTCACAGCCTGTAGTAGTTTCAATCCATAGTCAGCTGGTGCCCAAAGCATGCTGGCATGGAAGAGGGTTATCACAGAGGAGTAACAGCTCATGACAGGATAGAGACTGAATGCCGCCACAGCGGTAGGAAGCCTGCCTTCCTTTTGTCTTCTATCCAGGTTCAAAACCTATTGATTGCATCACTTACACTAGAGTGAGACTACTATCATTTACCACCTTCCTATCAGCATCACATCTGAATACACATTCAGACACCCTAACATAACTACACTCCAAATCCCCACCTATGACTACATGAAGCTCGATTGGGGAGAAAGGGGATCTAGATATAGGACCTACTAATAAATGAACTCACTGTTGATTCAGATCCAATTGTGGACCAAGATCCAACCTTTGGAGTTGATGTGATCGTGGGATCAGAATCGAGCACAGAGATATTCCGGAGGGACACACAGACTTTGAGTAAGTATGGGCCTTGCTTCAGGGATGGCCTGGGCAGGCCCTATTTCCTATATGCCTCAGTGAAACTCTGCTTTCCTCCATTGTATGGGATTTGCACCGTTAAGTGTGAGCTACTCCCATGGTTTAGATATTTTCCCACAATTCTCTGGTGCTGCAGAGTGGTATATGTTCGTCTCCATCTTAGTTTCCTTTCTCTTGCTGGGATAAAATACTCAGCACTAAAAGTTAATGGGCAAATGTTTATTTCTGGTCACATCCTATAGTAGTTTCAATCCATAGTCATCTGGTGCCCAAAGCAAGCTGGCATTGAGGAGGGCTATCACAGAGGAGAAGCAGCCAATGACAGTACAGACTGTATGCAGCCACAGCAGGAGGAAGCATGCCTTCCTTGTTTTCCTTTTGTGTTCTATCCAGATTCAAAGCCTATTGATTGTGTCCCTTCACTACAGTAGAGTGAAGCTACTGTCATTAATCGTCTTAATACCACCACAACACCGGAATACACATTCACACACCATAACACAACTACCTTCTAAGTTCCCCTTTGACTGAATGAAACTTCAAATTGGAGACAGGCTTTGCGATAAAGGAACTAAAAATAAATGAATTCACTGTTGATATAGATCCAGTTGTGGAGCAAGATCCAACTGCTGGCATAGACGTGATCGATGGATTAGAATCGACCGGAGAAACATTCCAGAAAGATCTACAGACTTTGAGTAAGCAAAGGCCTGCTTCAGGGGAGGCCTGGGTAGGCATTGTTATCTCTCATTTCCTGAATGCCTCAGCGAAACCCTGCTTTCCTCCAGGGTAAGGGATTTTCACCATTAAACACTAGCTACATTCATGGTTCAGGTATTTTTATATAATTCTCTGGTGCACAGGAGTCTGATATGTTCTTCTCTGTGTTAGTTCCTTTTCTTGTGTTGAGATAAAACACTCAACACTGAAAGTTAAAGGAGGAAACGTTTATGTCAGGTCATAGCCTATAGTGGTTTCAATCCATAGTCAGGTGATTGCCAAGCAGACTGGCATGGCAGAGTGGTATTAAAGCGAAGATCACAGGCAATATATTGATTTTGTCACTTATACTACAGTGAGTCTACTATCATTTATCACATTGATACCTCTATTGCATCTGAATATTCCACACACTTTATCACCCTCTGAATTCTCCCCTTTGATTTTATGAGGCTTGAATTGGGGAGGGGAGCATCTAGATACAAGAACTAATAATAAATGAGCTCACATTGATCTAGATCCAATCGTGGACCAAGATCCAACTGCTGGCGTAGATGTGATCGATGGATCAGAGTTGATCAGAGACATATTCAGAAGGACACATAGACTTTGAGTAAGTAAGGGCCTTGCTTCAGGGGAGGCCTGGGCAGGCATTGATGTCTCCTATTTCCTGAATGCCACAGTGAAACTCTGCTTTCCTCCAGTCTACTGCATTTTCACAGGGTATAGCCAAAACTGTGTTTCATTATTTTCTCCCCTAGAATTCTCTACTACCTTAGTGTTGGACATTTCCACATTTGAGAGTCCTTTAAATCACTGAACAATTTTTTCCTTTTTATTTCTTGATTGTAAGTCATTGCTTAGGAAAGTCCTGTAGGAGCAACTAATATTAAGAAGTAATGTTGCTTCCCTTTTCTTTGGGATAGGGCAAAATTTTGGCAAAAGAAGCTTGAAAAATGAGGGAAACAAGCATTTCCTGGAGTATTAGTGGCAGTCGGAATTTGTTAACTGTCTACACTGCTGATCCCTGGTATCTGTATGATCTTCCCAGGAGTCATTCTTGCAGCCTGTCTGAGAGGGAGGAGCACTTTGGTGCCTCTGTGGGGTTATTGGATGTGGTGAAGAGCACAGGATTAGTCACCTCATTTTCTTTTTCAGACTTTTATGTAAGCTTTTCTGTGACTCTTTTGGTAACTGTAAAAGTCAGTTGTATTGAGACCAAACAGAAGGAAAAGAGATTTAAAACTTTGTTTCTTGTCTTTTTAAGACTGGGTCCCGCTAATGTAGTTTGGACTGGACTTGAACTCATTTTATACCCCAGGCTGGTTGCAACTCAAAATGACCCTCCTTCCTTACCCTACTGAATGCTAGGATTACAGGTGTTTGCCACCACGCCTGACAAGATTCAAAAACTTTATGAGTGGAGCGTTTATTCTGTCTGATCACGCTGTCACCAGTCTGCATATTTTTTCATTTTCTGTCTGATCCTTTTGAAGGGGTCAAAAGACTTCAATTCCTTCCTGTTTCACAAACAAAACCCTATAATTTGAGGGCTGTTTGAGAATTTTGCTAAGAAAGGGCCTTGGAGTAAGTTTCTGAACCATTCAATTGTACCTACTGGTAATTACTAAGCTGTACTGTAGCACTGCTGTAGATGCATTGGAGCATTGCAGGTAGTAGTTGTAGGAATCTAGAAGTTGTACTTTAGTGGAAGCTGAAGAATCTATTTAAATAAGTTTGTTTGTATGGCTTTAAACTTTAACGGTGATTGTCTTCTTTAAAAAAAAAAATAGCTTTGAGTGATAGAGTAGTACTTCAGTGTTATGCCCTCTAGTGTCTGCTGGTAAACAACATGTCCCATACATTGTTCTGCTTCTTGGCATGCTAGGAATAGGTACTCCTTGACTATAAAACTAAGAAGCAGCCTCACATCCCAGACCCAGATAATCATTTCTGGAGACAGGAACCATCTGTTTCCACCTCTGCCTATCAGGAAATGGCCATTACCAGCAAACCCAGATGCTTCAATTTTTAGTAGGAAGAAAAATCCAGAAGCCTTTAATATTTTAAATTAGTGAATGTTTGTCATTATTTCCGGCAAGTGCATTCCTTTTGATGACCTGAACAGTAGCATATACGGCTAAAGATCTTTGCTTTCCCTTCTATTTTTGGACTATGAGGGGTTTCTTGTGGAAGGTTTTTAGGCATATTGGAGAAGTGGTACTTTGGTGTCTTGTCTATTTCACACCCTTCTCACCCAGGCACAGTGTTCAATGAACTAACTATACTCTTCAAGTGAAGGGATATGGTAGGAACTCAAGAACAAACGTCCGTTCAAAGGCTTCTCTCAGGAACTTTTATGTGTGAGTTTCACCAAATCCCCCTGGAGTGCATTTGAATTGTAGTTCCTGATAGGAGTTTAGTTCTGCTAGAGTATCTTAGAGCCCAGAAGCAGGGAAGATGTTGCTTCAGGCTCACTCATTGGAAGTCCTGTGTTTCACTAAAGCCACTTGAGGCTACTGGCATAATGCTGGACACTGTGGGTGACACTTTCTGGAAGTCAGTGGAAATATTTCTTTACTTTTTTGCAGCACAAACCAGCACTGACACAGCAGCCAGGTTGTCCATTGCAAAGCCTGCTGGTCAGTTTCTCCTGTCTTATCCATGTTGTCTTTCTAGAGATTTGATGCCCTTGGGATGCTATTTTTCTTTCTTTCTTTCTTTCCTTCGTGGCATTGGCAATTGCCATTTAAAAATTTTCCATTTTAAAAATTTGAAACAAGAGCTGGTTAAGTGATTGTGTTGCTTATTCTGGGCTTGAAATTGTGATTTTTTTTTTTTTTTTTTTTTTTTTTTTTTACATCAACTGAGGAAGGAGGCCAGCCTGGGTCATAGGAGACGCTGTATTTAACATCATTATTGGATGTTTAAAAACTCTTAAAACTTTTTTCCATATGGAACAAAATGATTATTAATAGTATGTAAACTGAGGCATTTTAAGGCATTTAAAGCACAAGAGAAATTAAGTTCCATGCTCAAGGTCACAGTGGGAAATGACAAAAGAGGGGCCTGGTCTTCTGAGCCCTGGATTCTCTTGGTAACTCCTGTTTTATTTTTAATTTAGAAAAGGAAACAGCAACTACAGCAACCAGGACTACCTATTTGTTATCTTCTACTTTTTGAGAAGACGTGAATGTTTGAAGAAGCTATCATAAACTACAAGAGAATGCATAACTGTAGAAAAGTAGTGAAAAATTAGATGTACCCAGCTGAAGAGAAGCATCAAGACACTGATCTTGGATGAATGTTGTCTATGGTACCATGCATAAGAGAGGGGCGTTTCTTAGTCTGTCTCATTTAATATGGACTTAATAAAATTTCACTGAAATGCATTTTGAGAGTTTTCATTTTAGAAGGGAAGCGATTGCTTAGTTGCTTTGCGTTAATATCCATAATAATTTTATTCATCTAAGATACTTTATAAATAGAATCCAATTTGTCAGGATCCAGAGGACAACGTGAAACAGAACAGTAGGAAGTAAATTACTTTTCCTATTGTTGCTGTGATACATTATCATGCACTCAGTAACTTAAAGCAATATGATTTATCTTCATACAGTGTTGTATCTCAGAAGTTTGAAATGGTTCCTATGAGATCAAATCCATGTTCCAGGGCTGAGTTCCATTCTGCTGGCTCTAGGAAGAATTCCACTTTCTTCCTCACACTCCTTTCTACTGTTCCAGGGTTGTCCAGTTCATTCTCCTATCCCAGCTCATCACTGTGTTATGCACTCTGCCTTCTGTTTGCACATTTAGGGGTATTGTAATTACAATGGATCACCAGCATTGATCTCTTATTTTAATGTCATTTGATTAAGAAACCTAATTCCCTTTTGCCACATCACATGTCATAGTCTCTGGTTCTGGAAATAAAAAGTTTACATGTTTGGGAAGCCACTAGTGTTTCATTTCAGACAGAAGTGACCTTTTATTTTTTTCCACTGGATTTGGTTCAGTGGGAGGCAGGACGAATAGGCTTTTTTATGATGACACTAAAGTTTAAAAAAATATATAGGGACTTATGGAAAATGTGGCTTATAATATTTCCTTATCTATTGTATCTTTTGGTGTGTTTCATTGTACAGATTGTTAAATGGATGCTATAGGTTTTATATTATAGATATACAAACTACCATTTATATACCGTATAAGTTTGATATAAGATAGTTCAAATATGTTAAGTTATATAACATACTTAAAGTCTAAAGTACCACTGTTTCATGTTTAATGAGACATGCTTAGTGAATGTTTTCTGTATTCATGACACTGGGCTATGACAGTATGTTAGAGGATGTGAGAGGAATCTACCTTCATGGAGAGTCAGTAACAAATGAGTATGCAGAGCAGAACAATAATCATATAGTCAGAAATTTTGGGACAGTCTGGTCAGGATAAGGTACCAGAGATAAATGCGTCAACTTGCCAATTATATCATCAAATTGCTTTGTTTGTTCAGTATACCCAGGGATTATTCCAATTTACATGATTTCTTCCTTAGACAAGAGGGACTTAATGCACTTCATTCACTGGAAATACAATGTTAGCCACCCCATCACTATTCATCTTCCGTGTAAAAACCTTGCTGTTTGATTCCACATAGACCAGAACCAAAAGAAGCTGAGAAGATTCTGAATTTTTCTCACATTCAGAGAGCTCATCAGTCTTCAAAAAAAAGAGGGACATGTTGATGGGAGACATGAGATACAGAATTTAAGTCATTGTAAGTGCAATGAGAAAATTTTAGAGAATTTTAAGCAAAAGAAGTAGCGTAATCTTTGTTTTGAAATGGTCTTGCTGAGTATTGTGTGGAAAGTCATCAGGCCCTTGATAGAGGGGAACAATAACATCAGTACTACTGGAGGGCTAGTAAAGTCCTCAGAGAGAGAAAATCCTTGCAGAATCAGAGTCCTGGAGAAGACACTAGGCCAGTGGGCACTTTTTATATATTCTGAAGGTAGAGCCCATGAATTTGCTAGTTGATGGTGCCTGGGTGAGAATTCAGAAGTGTTTACTATACTTTTCCTTAGGAACGGGGTGAAACAACTGGTACTCAGGGAGAGAAGATTGGGAGGTGTTATGGGCTAATTTGTGCAAAAGCTGGACTACATATGGAGACAGCAACCTTAAAAGGTGATTTTGTTCAACCGTGACTGCCAAGGAGCCAGAATCTAGTGTGACTGGTGTTCTTACAAGAACAAGACATTCGAACACACAGAGAGACAGGAGGGATTCATGTGCACTGAAGAGACCCCATTGTGGACACAGCAAGGAGGTGACATTCTGGAAGCCATGAAGTTTCTGAAGACCATAAACCTGCTGCCACCTAAACATTGGAGGGCAGCTTCCGAACATGTATGAGGGTGAATTTCTGGTTTTTATGTCACAGAGTTAGTGAGTTTGTTCTTTTTTCTTCCTTTTTTAGTAGCCACTGGAAACTAATACGGAGGACAGCAGGAGTGACAATGTGGAAATCAGGAGATCATATTGTAGCATGTTAACATTGTTTTTAAAAACTTTTTTCGTTTTTGTAATTTTTATGTATTTATTGTTATTTTAAAGAGGATAAAACAGAACAAAATGAATCAAAACAAACCAGTTTAAGAAGTACAGGCCTAAAAGTACTACAAAATCAACAATAGTTACCATAGTGCCCTTGATGTCTTCAAAATAGATGCAGATAACTTTGGACATAGTAAAATCAGACAGAACAGAATAAAATAGAAACAATAAAAACAAGATAATGAATACAATAAAGGACTTCAAAAAAGCCAACAGTAAATCTAAAATTGCTACCATAATATATCTTGCTATCTTTGAAATAGCTGCCCATGCCATTGGTTATAACCAAATCAAACAAAACAAAGCAGGATAAAACCCAACCCAAGAAAACAATGAAAATGATACAGGACTTCAAAACAGATGACCAGGAATTAACAATGGCTATCATCTTCAGAAGGAGATTCCCCATAGATGCTGCACTGCATACTGTTATCCTCTGAATAGATGATGAGACCACCAGCCCTAGACCTGCAAAGCCAGTGAAACACCACACATCACAAACATCAAATTGCATATCACCTCAATAGCTATCATCGCAGCCAGTTTCTCCAGATCATCCCGTCGCTCATAGGTGGGAGAGGATGTTTGGCTCTTTTTGTTTCTCAGCCTGCGTGCCAGAAGGGGCTGAGGTCTGTCTGTCCCTCTGGCAGCCTGTGCATGGTGCTGCATCACAGGAGGGCTTGCTTCTTGGTGACTTCTTCTTCTATTTCCCCCCCCACCCCAATCCAAGAATGGCCAAGCACATTAACTTTGAAACAGATACCAGAAGACAAAAGCATGGCGAAGGTGTTCCTCTCACCTCAAGTGGCTCCAGCTGCCTGCCTTAGGCTTCTCATTCCTTTCAACCCATTCCCTGCAACTGGTTGTCTTCTCAGCTCCTCTCTAACCTGTTTTGATTGTGTCTGGTGAATCCACAGGTGATATTTTCCTTTTATGATATATTAATCTCTTCTCTCCTTGCTGACATTACAGAAGGTCAGAGAAAGGGCTTGAGCTAAGTGACATTTGTCAGATTCGCAGGCTCTATTCAAAGACTATTAATACAAGAACAAGGCTGACTTCGCTGGAATGCCACTTTTGCAGTGGCCCACAAAAGCAAAACAAGTTTGCCTGGCTCTACTCTCTGTGCTTTTTCACTGACCTTCCCTTTCTACCTGAAGGTCTAACATGTGCCACCTGGTCAAGACACTCTTCTCCAGGTCTCTTCTCATAGGCCATCTATTAAAATGGTAAACAAGTATCGAACTAAATACAGTGACATGCAAAGATCAAACCATTATTTGCTGCCTTTCATAAAACCCAAAAAGCACAATCAGAGCTCTTTGCTGCTCCAGTCTCCAGAGAAGACTTTCCCGTTGCTAACGTTTTCTCCCTTTGGAACACACTCCTCTGCAAGGCATGGTGCCACACATTTGTAATCCAAGTTCTGGGGATGTTAAGGGGAGTTGGCTCATGAATATGCAGATCAGCTTGAGCTCCAAAGTCAGAAACTGCTTGAAACAAAGAAGACCAGATTTTTACTCATGCCTAGGTAAAAACACATCAGGTTGATCATCCTGCAAGAGTCACATTATCTGTAGTAAACCTCACTGTTTAGGAGGCTTCCAAGAATCGTATTTTCAGTCCTGCAGAAAGGCCCAGTAGATACACAGCACAGAACCCAGGAGTCCACACTGGACAAGCAAGGCCATATTATCTAGGATTTCCAAGCACATGGCCCTACTTGCCATACCTCCAAAGAAACTGTCCTCAAGTTATCTACAGCTGCATTAAACTAAACCATTACATAGGAACAACATGTGATATGAAGTGATAATAGACACCTAATTATACTGACTTATTTACATTTTAATTAAAGAGATGTACAGGCAAACTGGATGCATAAATATGAAGAGCACTTGAAAAGAGAGCTACCAATTTAGATATCTAAAGTGGTTTTGAAAACTCATATAATATGTTCTCAAATTTTAAAAATGAGAATGAGCCTATCACGGTGGCATTTGCCAATACTTGTAAATACATTAAAGCCAGAGGCAGGAGGATTGATTGTAAGTTTGGGGCCAGCCTGGGTTACTCAGTGAGATCTTGACTCAAAATAAAAAGTGAAAAGGGCTGGGGATGCATCACTGGGCTTCTGGATTGGACCTTCAGTACCACAGCACATCCCCTATACAGACACAAACAAAGGCAGTGATACATATTATGGAGCCTGATTTAGAGAAAATAAATAAAGCCATTCTCCACAAATAAGTGGATAAAAGAGAAAAACAGAGCAAGGATTAATTCAGGATAAAAGAATCAATAAATCAGATCCATGAGGAGAGAATAACATGAATAGGATATTACAGACAAAATCTTGGGTTGAGGAGGAAGCTGAGAAATCATACAGGTCCTCCAGTAAAATAGAGTAAAACAGGAGTACAGTGCAGTGATGTCTTCAAAGGTAGTATCAGGCTTCTGATTCAAGTGAATGTTTTTTGTTAAACAAGCATCAGTGGCAGTGATTCAAACTATTTCCTACATGAAACAAGGCCCACACTCAACTGTACAAAATATGCTAAGAAAGGGAAGGAATGTGAAAAAATCCATGGAAACATAAAATAGCAGGGTTTGTGGTAAGACATGTATGTTCATATTGCTGAGCTGTGGGAATGCTGTGGGACTTCTATGACCACTTACACTACAATAACTCACAAGGTACAAAGAGCAAAATGCTTTAAGATCTCTGGTTCTTCAACAAGGCCTCCACACTTAGGGTGAGCACCAGAGATCC